TCGTGGGTTTGAATTGGCAACCTTTCAGTAAGCAGCCGAGTGTTTCAACCACTGAGCCACCAGGGATCCTTATTTGTAATAATGGCTTAAAGGAATATGACAAGATAAGTGATATATAAAATAAATTTAATTTGTAGATGTATCTCAGTCAGAATTAACATGAGTAATGATCATACCTCAAGGGGAAACATGGTCATAAAATGTCTTGAAATTGGATAAAAACTATGAATGTTCATATTAAGTATTGATTAGTCAAGAATTTCAGTTAAAATTAATGTCAGGATAAGGAGAAAACCTAGCAATCTGAAAAAGACACATCATAAAAGATGGTCTAAAAGAGCCTAATGAAATGAAACTCAAGAGGCATGATTATTTGACTGCCTCAAGTTTTGCCATCTAAAATAATGATAAAAAGTATCTTAATACTGATGGGGTTAGCAGGTAGGACATTAAAACATCTATCTTGGAATAAATCATATCCTAACTTACTAACTTGAGTTTTTCTTACATGTTGTTGTTGTTATGTGCCGTCGAGTCAAACCCGACTCATAGCGACCCCTCCTTGGGTTTCCAAGGCAGTATCACTACAGAAGTAGTATTGCCCAACCTTCCTTCCGAGGAGTGGCTGGTGGGTTTGAACCACCAGCCGTCTGGTTAGCAGGCAAGTGTCTTAGCCACTATGCTACCAGAGCTCCCATACTGTATTATAAAATACAGAAAATTTGATGGAGGTGGGAATAGAAGTGAAAATGGTAGAGCAATCTGAATGGGCTTGGAGGGTCTGACATACAACTCAGAAAAACAAACAAACAAACAAACAAAAAAAACAGTTCTATCCTAGCACCAATGCTAAAAGAAAAGCTATTTTAGAAAGAAAAAAAAAAAAAAAAGAGAGAGAGCGAGCGAGCGACCAAGAAAGAGAAATTTAGTCACAGAAAGCTAAGAGTACGAAAATCCAAAACAGTAGCAAATCTACCTAAATTAAGACCTTGGGATCCTTAACCAGGAAAAGTGGTTAGCATAGTAGGTAACACGCAGTTATCAACTTTGCTTAGGAGGAAACAGAACATAAAGACTTGAGAATAAATTATGTAAAAATTATTTCAAATAAATAAAACTCTTCCCTGTACCTCATTTTCCCCATCAGTAAAGAGACAGTAATAATACCTGTCTTTATCTAAGAGTACTGTGTGAGGCTCCAGTGAAGTAATATAAAAGAAAATGCTGTAAGTCACAGAAAACTGCATAAAACATATATATTATTATGTACTAACATCACACATCATTGCTTATGTTGAACTTGGACAATAATGAAGTCCTGCAATTTACTTAAGAGACAGGAGGAATAAAGTAAAGGGGTAAGTATATTCCAGAAGGAGACATTACACTAACAAGCCCTAAAGAATCTGACCAAACATCAATAACAAAAACCATAACTTTGTTCACTCAACTTTTATTATGGTGTTTCATTAACAGAAGATCCTAGTGACTGCTGTTGTAACAGACTGCAACATCCTAAAACAATTTTAGAGGGCAATGCTACATTTTAAAAAATTATGTTAAAGTAATTCTAAGATCCAGTCATTTAAAAATAGGCCATAATGTTTAGAAAATGCTCTTTTACACTGGATACTGTATTGCTTTCTTAGCATTTATCAAAGTTTCATTATGTTATTTGTCTAATATCTCTTTCTCCCCTACTAAATTATAAACAAGTGTTTTTCAAATGCAGAACTCACAAACCCCAGAGAATACATCTTGGGATTCTAATTTGAGACACACTGCATTAAAAGTTAAATGCTATCACTTAGGTGATCACTCTGGGTTAAAGTGGTTATAAAAACAAATGGAAAGAAGGGCACTGCAGTTAGGATTCAGTAAAAAATAGGCTCATCCAAAGGATACTCTTAAATTTAAGGTTCCTCATAAAATTAAAATATATCAAGTTATGCTTCTGATTACACTAATGATCTAATCTTTTAATACCATTTTGTGAAACTTGAAAAGTTCAGAAGCAATAGGATGTTCTGCTATGGGCATAGCTCTAATTTAACCACTCTCATGTCATATAGGAATTGTATGTTAACCTGTCACTTGCACAATAGCAGGCTCCTAGAAGACAGGGACAATGCTATGTTCATCTCAGTTATCTGTATGACTGAGTAATAACAAAAACCTGAATGAAAAGCTCCAAAGTACATACCTGAATATGAAAAAAGGCCTTCACACTCACATACACATACAAAGCATTTTCAACAATACCTGAATTGTATAGTAATTAATATTCACAACTGTGCATCTGGTTTTCAAGAAGAGAATTACTTGGGAATGGACATATAAGCCTGTGGATTTAATAGGCCAGGCATCACAGAGATTATATGGTTACATATCCAGTAGAAAAAGCATCTGTTATTCACCTACTATGTACTCAGTTTCCATGTGGAGAGACCAAAGCTCTGAGAAGTTAAATAATTTTTCCCACCATCACACAGTCAGAGAGTAGTGAGGCAAGGGAGTGATGGAGTCAGATCTATATGACTTGATAAAGTCCATGCTCCTCCTGCTATAACTTCAAGTGGCCATTCAACTTATTTTTTTCTGCACCAAAATAAGCACAATAATCCCTACTGTAGAGGGCTTTCATAAAGTTCAGATTACATGATCAATATAAAAGTACTCTGAAAATATAAGACTTCTACAAATAATGAAAGACAACGTAATTTCTTAAATATATGTGTGTGTGTATAATTTACTTGACCTTCAAATTCATTCAGAAGTAGTCAGGGAGGCATTATCTCCCATTTTAATAAATGAAGGGTCTTATAAACTCAGAGGATCTCTGGTGACATAGTACCTAAGGTAGGTGACTGCTAACCAGACGGCTGGAGGTTCAAACCCACCAGCCCCTCCTCAGAAGGAAGGTTGGGCAATCTACTTCCATAGTGATAATGCCTCAGAAACCCAAGAAGGGGTCACTATGAATTGAATCCAACTCCACAACAGTGGTTGTGTTTGCATTCGTAAACTCAGAGAAGTAACTGAGTAAATAAAGGTAGGATTAGAACCTAAATCTTATGTCTTCTGCTTCTATTTCCATTGTACCCTGATGCATCAATACAATACAACAGATCTTTAGAAGAAAAGTTACTTCCATTTGAGTTATATATTCTTTAAATACAGATTTCTGAAATTTATTTGAAAACAAAAATCATTACTGGGTTATATTAATTTTATAATGCACAGGTTATACAAAATCAAGAATACACTTATTCTGGAAAAGGAGGCATGTAAGTATGCTTTTTCGGATAATACAACATAAATTGTTAAAGTATCTTCCAGACATCTGCAGTGTATTTAAAAGCTAAAGTAACTCTAGGTAGAATAAATAGGCCCATCTATTGTGTATATGTCCTCATTTGTTGCTGCCTTTTTTTTATTAAAAAAAAAAAAAAAATCTCTTGCTTTACTGTTTCAAAGAAATATGAGACAATACTAATAACATAATTAGTCAAGATTTAAGTGCTTACTATGTGTCATAACTATCCTTGCAATCATTGTAACATTTCGAGTTAATACTATCACCTTCATTATTACAGATAAGTAAACAGATGTTCAGTGTGAAGTAGACTGCACAACTGAAATTCCAATCCAGGTGAATACGATTCCAAGGCCTGTATTTTTAACAAAAGACTACACAATGTCTCAACAATTTCCAAGTATAGTGGGATGTTAAGTTAGGAAGACTTGGAGTAAATAAATTAGAGAACTGAACAAGAAAGGAGAGGTTACTTACTGAATATAAGATGACATTGGAACAAAATTTCAGACTTACCAAACAGCTGAATTCAAGTGACAAGAGTGAAATAAACTTTCAAATTTCTTACATTTAAAAAAATATTATAGTACTAAGTCCTTGATAGCTGGAAGATGTTCCATTAACACAATGCTACAATAACCCCTAGGCTGTTCACTTAGAACTATATTTTATTTATGAGTTCAATTTCTTCTCTGCAATACAGAGAGAATATCTATCTGGACCTATCCAATTCTTAGTGGTTTTATTTAATTTTTAATGATTTTCATAAAGGGTCAAGATTGTATAAAAGCAGTAACACAGAAATATAAACTGGTCTTATTCTAATACCTATAATTATCCCTAGAACCCTATTTTGTAAGGATGTTCCTATTAGTTTACCTTTTTTAGGAAATGAGGAAGGTGCTAAAAAGAAAATGATCACAGCTGATAGTCCATCCCCACATAGAGCTTACTTTTAAACTCAGTTCACATAGCAAATATACTATTTTTACTTAGATTTTGTTACAGAGCAATAGTAACAAATGTCTAAGGATGCATCTAATCTATTTTAAATAGTATCTTTCACATCAAAGATCATTACTATACTTAATACTAACATTATTGTCATTTTGGATGGATCTGTTATAGAAGGGTAGTTAATGTCTCCTTGACCCATTCCCTGTGACTACTAAAGCTCTGAAAGCTACAAATGTGCACATTCTCTAATACACATCGGCTGTTAATTTCAACTAATAAAAGTGAAGTATGCTATGTACTCAAATGATAGAAAGATGAGTATTTCCAAAGAAGATAAATATATCTAGGGAAACAAAATGACACATCCAGTACAAGATTAAGAGGATAATAATTTTTATTACCTTAAAAACAAACCAACAAACAAACAAAAAAACCTAAAGTAAAAATATTTTAAAACTGCTTCAAACATATTTACAAATATTAAAGGCATAATAATAAACTCAAGCAGGTTCTATATTATGAAGTTAAGTTTAGAATGTGTCCTATTTCATAGGTAACTTAATAAAATGTCAAACACAGAATCCATCGATACTAAATCCCAAACACTTAGTTCTTGAAAATCCCATGGAAGCCCAAATTTAGCAAAAGAATAGTTAGAACAGTTTTAAAAGAATATAAATAAAACATTAAAAGCAAACCAAACTTTCATAAAGAAAAAAGAAATAACCTGTGGTATGGTGGGTAGGATGACAGTATTCTCAGCAGGGACTGGCAGGACAGGGATCACAGGGACAGTGGGAGAAGAGGGAGGTACAGCTTCTGTTGGCTAAAAATCATCAATGACAAAAAATCAGGAAAAAACAGCAAAATAAAAAAGAAACACTTAACAGAAAGTTGTGACATAAAGAGAGAGATTTCAGAAATAACCAAAAAATAGGTGAAATATTAATATATGGTTTCAATTTAAATGAAGAAATACTCTCTTCAAAAATTATTTTAGTAATAATTATACTACTAGTAACAACCTAAATGCCTCTATAGTTAAAAACGAATGACTGCTCTTTAGGTGTATAAATGAATATAATAAATAATGACTTACAATATCCCTCCTTCCACTTGTTTCACAGATGGACTGCAAAATATTTTTCTAGCATTCAGAATATATTTGACAACTTTCCTCTTAGAATTCAGAGAACCCAAAATAACTTTATTAGCCCATCAGGCAGGCAATTAAGATTTATAAATCCACAAACCAAATATTCAAAGGATTTTGAAATTTTAACATTCATTGGGTATTTATTTTGTGCCTTACAAATTCCAGAAAAATCATTTAATAAATGAGATGTTACTTGTTTGAAAACTGAAAGCTAATTAGGAAATTATAAGACAAACAGAAATGAGATATTTAATGCATGAGGGTCAGATAATCAGTTAAAATTTTTAGAAAGATCATTCTGGCAGCAGGGGAAACAAAGAGCTTGAATTTAGAAAGCGGGAAAAGCTGGAAAAGCCTAATGACATAAACTATGAAGTTTTAATATTTCTAGTCAATTACTATTTGCTTTGATTCAATTATTCTTAAAAAAGATTTAACTGGAACACACAAAAGGTGTTCTGTAACAGGATTCAATCCCTCTAAATTGGCTTGATTTATAAATATTTGCTACAAAAACAACATACTTACATACATAAGAAAACATTAAAATCAAATAGATAAGAATACAATGTGAATCACGAAAGACTTAAAACAGGAAGATAAATTGTTAAATGTGATTAAAATTCCTGAGAAGAGCAAAAATAACTGGTTAAGATCTAGCCTATACAAACAATAGTCTAATTCTAGAAGATACTTTGGATGTCCTTTTTTTTTTTTTAATTTTTATTTTCATTGTGATTTGGGTGAAAATTTACAGAGCAAATTTCCATACAGCAGATCACATACACTTTGTCTCATGACATTGACCACTATTTAGCACAATGCAACATCTCCTCTCCCACTTCCTCACTATAGGTACTGCTTCCCTGTGACAATCCCTCCATGCACTCCTACCCCCTGATCTGTCTCCCTGTGCCTGAGCAGCCCTTCTTTCTCTCTTACTTGTTCTCTCCAAGGAGTGTATCTACCTCAGATAAATGCTCAACTAGTATGCCTGTCTACTGCTTGGCTGGAAGGATGTCCTTTTCTTTTGAGGGTGGCAGAAATGAACATTCACGGCAGGAGTTTCTAGATCAAGTTTGAAGAGTCAGAACTCATTTTCCCGGAGAAATAATAACAACTGATAATAAAATAGCTGAAATAGTATTCAATTTATTATGAATAAAGCTCTGTGGGTCTGGCTTTGGACTCCAATAACCATTTACATATTATTCCTATAGAAAAAAGTATTCTGAATTCCATGTAATGAATTTAAAAGTAATAATTTAAATATTAACCAATTTCAGGTGGAATATCTATCTAGTCTTGTTAGAAATGTTTGAAAACCCACAGGTTCTAACTCTTACTGTATGACAAAGGTGATACTTCAAAGCAAAAAGATTAGGGTGGTGTTTTCTTTTTAAAAGAATTGCTGCTGGATCACCTGGATAGCCACATGAAAAAACAAATGAATCCTGATCCTTACCTTACACCATGCTTAAAATCAATTCTAGATGGTTTTAGATATTTGAGAGAGGTGAAATAAATAAATAAAGCTCCTGGAAGATAACAAGGTAGAATACCATAAACTAGATGTAGGCAAAAACTTTTTACACAGGAAAATGTAGGTTGTGGAAGGTCAAGAAGGGTAAGGAGTGCATCAGTGAGCAGGGAGTTGAGAGGATGCACTGACACAGGGTGTTACAGCCTGATCAGAGTTATCAGGGTATCTATTTGGACAGAACAGTGGAAACATCCCAATGTGCGTTGTTGGAGGGGCAGTGGCAGCAGTAGTCTGGTATGAAGTGTAGGGGTGTGAGTAGGGTAAAAGGAGGATCTGAAGGAATCTCAGAGTGAGGAGAGTGCATCTAGAGTGTCAGCAGTGATACGAGACTGCTTACATAGAGGGGATTTTAATTTAATAAATACATAAAGAATAATGAGAGCAAGATTTTTCATTTTAGGGAGTTAAACATATGGAAAGGGACAAAATTATAATGAAACCTATGGTCCTAGACTGGAATTGGAGGTATTGGTATGACTGCATAGTTATCAACACAGAAAAATAATTAAAGACACAGATGTGTCTGTGTGTGTATACATACATATACTCACTAGTTATACCCCACTAGTAGGATCTGGAAGCAGCAGATTGCAACAGCATAAACAAACCTAGCATTTAGATCTTGGTTTCTAAATAACCATTCTTCTTAAAAAAAAAAAAAAAAAAGCTGGGCTTCTTGGAAAAAAGGTTGATTCTAATGCTAGATTTCAGGAAGTATAACATAAGCCGCCAATATCACGCTGAGCCAGCAAATAAGAAAGTTCCACATACAAGGCACATGACAAAGAACACAAAGGGGCCTCCACTGGCCAAACTGGGAACAATTTGAGACTCAAAATAAATGATAATAATGACATAAAACCCACTGTACTAAAATAATCTAGGGATCCATATCAATGTAAATACATACAAGAATAAATAAATGAGGGAAGAGAAAGCATTTCCTTACAATACACCAACTAAAAAATGTGGAAGGAATGATAAAATTACAAAATCATCATTTTGCAACCATCATAGTAAAAAATAATTCAAGGAACATCAATAGATGTTTAAACTAGTAAATGAAATTTTGAATGGGATAAATATGTGTTTATGTATCTTCTCAAAATATTTATCAGAGTGGAGAAACTTAATTGAAACTGTCTTAATAATCAAAATTAATGGGACAAATAAAAATCCTATGCTTCCTGATAAAACGTATTAAGAACACATCACTCTTGTGATATTCCTATCAAAGATGTATAACTAATTACTAAAAATCAGACAAACTCAAACTGCATGATACACCACAAACCAAGTTTTAAAGTTACAATTTTTAAAAGTAGCAAAGCCGAGAAAGTCTAAAGTAACTTTATTTTTTTAATGTTTGAAAGTGTTCCAATTTTAATTTTAAATTATTTTCTTAGTAATGATCTCCAGTCCTTATAACAGGATCAGGTGCCTAAGGCATTTGACTGCTAACCAGAAGGTTGGCAGATCAAACCCAGCAGCCACTCCATGGCAGAAAGACTGGGTAATCTACTTCTGTAAAGATTTACCACCTCGGAAACCCAAAAGGGGGTCACTATGAGTTGGAACTGATTCAATGGCAGTGAGTTTGTTTTTGTTTGTTTGTTTTATTTACAAAAGAAAGAAAAAAAAAGGGCAGTTGAAAGTGTCCCAATTTTAATATTAAATTATTTTCTTAGTATTGACCTCTAGTCCTTATGACAGAGTCAGATATTAGATGATTAATACTCCACTATTAAAAAAAAAAAAAAAAGACAATGCTACATACTTATGTCAAATTTTTTCAAAGACAAGCACAAAATGGGTAATTGTTCTCCAAAACCCTTTATGATAAACCATAAATTCTTTTAATGTTACATTTAAACTCTACTTTAATCGGAAGGAAGATTGGGCAATCTACTTCCATAGTGATACTGCCTTAGAAACCCAAGGAGGGGTCGCTATGAGTTGGATCTGACTGGACAGCAATGAGTTTGGTTTGGTTTATAAGCTTTAATGGGAGGCTCTGGTGGCGTGGTACCTAAGGCACTTGACTGCTAACCAGAAAATTGGCAGATCAAACCCATCAACCACTCCTCAGAAGGAAGGTTGGGTAATCTACTTCCGTAGAGATACCGTCTCGGAAACCCAAGGGGGCGGTTGCTGAGTCGGAAATGACTTGATGGCATTTAACAACAATATAAGCTTAAAAAAAAAAAAAAAAGGAGCTCTGGTGGCACAGTGCCTAAGGCATTTGACTGCTTACCAGAAGGTTGGGAGTTCAAACCCACCAGCCGCTCTGCACAAGGAAGATGGGGAGCAATCTACTTCCATAAAGATTTATTGCCTTGGAAACCCAACGGGGGTCACTATGAGTAGGAATCAACACAATGGCAGTGAGTTTGGTTTTTAATACATAAACTTTAAAAAGGGGCTATGGTGGTGCAGTGCCTAAGGCATTTGACTGCTAACCAGAAAGTTGGCAGTTCAAACCCACCAGCCACTCCACCAAAGAAGATGGGGCAATCTACTTCCATAAATATTTATCACCTCAGAAACTCAATGAGGGTTGCTTTGAGTCAGAATCGACTCAATGACGGTAAGTTTGGTTTTTGTTATAAGCTATAAAAGAGCTCTGGTAGCATGGTAGTTAAAGCATATTAGCCAAAGGTTGGGAGTTCAAACCCATTAGCCTCTCCACAGGAGAAAGATTAGGCAGTTTGCTTCCATAAGATTTGTGTCTTAGAAACCCTAAAGGGCAGCAGTTCTATTATGTTCTATATGTCACTATGAGTTAGAACTGACTCAATGGCAGTGGGTTTTTAAAAAAAACAAAACCAAACCCTAAAACAACCTACACCATGCTGATCCACACTTTATAGGTCACTGAGAAAGTACTGTGGAAAAGAATACATTCTTCTGTCTCCTTCTTAAAGAAGGTGATCACTGGTAAGAAGTACTCAAGATCAAGAAGTCCAATGAACCCCAAACAGGATAGACCCCAAAAGAAAATCACCACAACATATCATCATCAAACTCACCAAAACCAAAGTCAAAGAAAGAATCCTGAAAGCAACATGGGAAAAACAAACAGTTACCTACAAGGGACAAGCAATAAAACTAAGCTTGGGTTTCTCGG